AAACAGTGAAAAGTTAATGAAATAAATAAAAACAAAATGCGTTGAACCGTGGAAATAATTTTATAACTACCCCCTTTAAGAAAAAAAAAGGATAACTGAAATTTATTGAAAAAATATAGTAAATAAAATATATTTCAATAAACACACAGTTTTTTTATTAAACCATTAAATGGAAGAATTATGTTATTTTAGAATATATATCTTTATTCAAACGAACCTATGCTTTTTGTGTTTAATGTGATGACAGTAACAAAAACACTCTACAATTAACTTCTCTGTTTCTATTTATTTGGTGGTATTTTTGTGTCATATGAATTATATGTTTTTGCACTTTCTCTACTATTCATCAAAAATATATCACTTTCTATTCAACCCAACTTATATTACCAAATAAATGTATCAAAGTTAGTAACCAATTCAATTCATAATGAAACATGAACATTGAAAAATTTTTAACATAATGTAGTTAATAACTCCTAGTTGGAGTGATTGTTGTATTACTAAATTGTATTGAACAGTATTTTTAAAAAGTCATAAACAATGAATTTGAGACATACTTATTTTAAAATGTGTCCATCTAATACCTTTAAAAAATGAAAATTTTTGTGATTCATTTTATAACCAGTACCACTTGTTAAACTATATTTATAATATAAATATAACTCATTGTTAGAATTAATAAAAACTACTTCCAAAAAAGAGAAAAGGACAACGTCGAAATTTAGATTATTCAGAAAAAGGTTCATCATTTGAATTACAGTTTTCATGAATAACATTACCCCTAGTTTTTTATTTTTCATTAAAAATTGATTGTTCTTTGAAAAAAAATAATATATTACTGTTAAATTATCTAAAAAGTGAAAAAGACTTATAGAACAAAATGCATTGTTTCTTTTTAATCAGTTAAATGCTTTTATTTTCTATCGTTTTTCAAATGTTGAATGAAGCAATAAGAAAAATAACTGATAACAATGATGTAATAATTGATAATGAGTATGATTATTCTAAAAGAAAATTCTGTATTTGAAGCAATAAAACACTTCAAAATACAATAAACTGTTATAAAAGTTGGATATAAAGTATTCCAAATAAGTCTGAATCAAAACAAACAAGTCTAAATTGATACTTTTGATTTAACATTGTTTAGAATATGAGAAAGTGTTAATTGTTTAAAACTGTCAACTAACGAATCTATCTTTTGTTTATAGATGTCCATTTGATAAAAATGTATTTAAAATTTCATTTTATTTAATAGAGTAATCATTATTTGGGTATTTTCATAGAGCAAGTCAGTTAAGTTTAAGAGAGAGAAGGTTTATTATGTTAAAAGTTCTGAGGAAGTTTAAGAAAGAAAATAAAAAACACAAATTTAACTTTAAAATAGAAGAGATAAAAAGAAAATACTATTTTTATGAAAAGCATCTCAAAAGAACTTAAAAAGATAAATATAAATAACATGGCAAATAAAATCAAAATTGGATTATTGGGAGATATGGGAGTTGGTAAGACGTGTATTGTTCAAAGGTTTTGTTTCCATAAATATAAAGATTTATATGAATCAACTATTGGAATTGAGATGTCAGATCAAGAAGTGGTAGTTGATAATCAAAGTTATCCAATACAAATTTGGGATACTGCTGGACAAGAACGATTTAGATCAGTTTCACGTGTTTTCTTTACTGATATTAAAGGGATATTTATTGTATTCAGTTTAGATAATATGGAATCATTAAATCATTGTAAAGATTGGTTAGACGATTTCTATAGTCTTGTTGATCAAAGTAAAAATATTCCTGTAGTATTAGTTGGAAATAAATTAGATTTAATTACTGATGAAAATAATGTTCGAGTTCCTGAAGATATTATTAAGAAATTTGTTTCTAATAATGATATTCCATTATATATTGAAACTTCATCTAAGAAAGATATTAATATTGACACAGCCTTTCAAGAAATGGTATCTATTATTATCAAAAGAAATCTTCACATAAGCGAAAAAAAGAACGAAATTATTGAAATAACACAAGAACAAGAAAATCTTCCAAAAAGAAGTTCTCAAACAACCAATGAATGTTCTTGTTAAATTTTAGTCTTTAATAAATCAATTACAATTATAATTTTTTGTTTGTAAGAAAGAAAATAAGAAAAGGAGAGAGTTAGTTAAAAAGAAAATATAATGTTCTATTTTAATCTAAATTTGTTCAAAATTATAAAAATAATAAAATTTAATAAAATTTATTATAAAATTTCAATAAGGCAAAAAAAAGGAAATGGTAGGCATGTGACTATCATAATAGGCTTGTAATAAAGGAAATTATTGGAAAATAGGCAAAAGAAGAATTATTTGACTTGATAAAAAAAACTAATGAAATTAGAATTAAAAGAGAAATGGAAAATACCACACTTGTCTCTCTTTATAATGAAGAACAAAAAGAAAATAATCAAACAACAATTAGAATAGATGGAAGTTCATCTTCTTCAAGTGAAGAAAGTTTTCAAGGATTTAGTTTTAGTACAATACTTCTTCCACATCATTCAAATGAAAAAGAAGATGGATTTGTTGATATTGATGGATATTTAACTCCATTTGAGAATGAAACAAATATTTTTAAACAAATATTGTATTGTGTATTTCCATGTTTAATACCACCATTTATTTCTAATAAAAGAATAGAAAAATATATAAGAGCAACAATGTCTATATCATTTATTTTTACATTATTATTGATTGGAGTATTTATTGGAGAATTATGTATATGTGGAATTACATCATTTTCAATAAATCCAGGGATAGGTCCAAGTGCAGATAAAATAGTAGATTTTGGAGCAAAATATTCATATGATATAACGTTTGTTATTATAATATTTTTTTTTAGAAAAAAAGAGATTTATTAAACTAATAAAATAAGAAGAAAAATTAATTAAAAATAGTCAAAATTATCAAATATATCGACTTTTTACATCATTATTTCTAAGTCCATCATTATTTGGATTAGTTGTTGAAATTATATTTACATTAAGATTTTTCTTATATTTTGAACATAGATGGGGAATAATATTATTTTTTGTTACATATATTATTAGTGGAGAGGCAGGAGTATTATTAAGTTGTGTATTAAGTTGTAATAATATTGCAGTATGTTCTATGGGACCATTTGCTGGATTAATATCAGTATTTCTTGTTGATTTAGCATTAACAAATCAAAATTATAAAGTATATTTTAAAAGAGCTGTTTTTACATCATTAATAGGTCTTTTAGTGATAGTATTTACACAATTATTTCCATTACAAGATTTTACATGTTTATTAGGAAGTGTTATTGTTGGATTAAGTCTAGGAGTATTATATTTTATTAATTTGAATCAATGGTTTTCTCAACAATCATTATTATTACAAACAATTATTTATGTTTCATTAGTAACATTTCTCTTAACATATTTTATTATTTTTTATTTATTATTATTCATATGGATTCAACCTTTACAAATTACAATATCAACTCAAACAAATTGATTTGTTTTTAAATATATTTTTTCATTAAATTATTATTAATTCTTTAATTTTTTTTAAATTTAAATTATAAAAATATTTATTTAATTGATTTCTTTTGTAATGCTAATTGTTTTAAATATTGAACTCTTTCAATACATTGTTCTTTAGTTTTACCTTCTACCATTTGAGCTATTTTATCCCATTTATCTTGTTCTTTATAACTACTTAATTGTTTAATACCATTTTGTAATTGAATTTGTTGTTCTTTACTCCAATCAAGAACATTATTATTATTATTTTTCTTTTGTTGAGTAGTTGTATGTATTTTTGCATTTAAAGCTTTTGCATATTCAATAACTTGATTTTCATTCTTTGTTTTCATATATATTGCAATTCTTCTATATCTTCCTTCTGTACCAATAGGAAATTTTTTACAACCTTTTTTAAATAATTCAATATCATTAGAATTCCATTCTTCTAATATATTTCTATGAAGTTGATGTTGTCTTTCTTTTTCTTTTTTTTCAAGATATTGAATTGTTTTATGTTTTAAAAATTCTATTGCTGATTGATCTTGTAATGATGATATAGTATTTAATTCATCATCATCTAATTGTACAATTACATTTTTGATACCACATTTAAAATGTTCATTTTCTTTCTCTAAATTAAATAAATTTAATAATCTAATTTTTTTTTCTTTTCGTTCTTGTATTAATAATTCATTTTTCTTTTGTTCTTCTATTTCTAAAATTCTTCTTTCTTCTTCAATTTTTAATCTTTCTTGTTCTTTTTGAATTTCTATTAATTTTCTTTTATTTTCTAATTCTTGTTTCTTTCTTTCTTTCTCTTCTTTTTCTCTCATCTTCTTTTTGATTATTCTAAAATCTCGTTTATATGCCATGTCAACTAATTTTCTTATTCTTAAACCTTCCTCTTTTCGTTTCTTTTGTGATTTCTTTTCATTCTCTTTCATCATCCATCTTCTTTCTTCTCTACATGTTGCTTCTTCTATATTATACATCTCATCTAAAGGAGGATCTCTCCATGACTTAAATGAATACCAAAATGTATAAAATTTATTTACATCTTCATCAGATGATGTTTCATCACCAAAATTAGGAACATTTTTATTGATAGACCATTTAGCATTTTTTTTAAAATATGTCCCAAAAATAGTATAGAATTCTTTTTCTTCATATTGTCTATCTTGTGGTAATTTATCATCAGTATTATCTGAACTATCATATTGTTTTCTTTTTTCAGGATTTGATAAAATAGTATATGCTTCAATAATTTGTTTAATTTTACTATCATCTCCATTATTTTTATCTGGATGATAAATTAAACACATTTTCTTATATGCTTTTTTAATATCATCATCAGTAGCTTCCCATCTAACAGTCCCTAAACCAAGCATTCCATAATAATCTCCTGTTTTAATACTTTGTATATGTGGTTTAAATTTGCTACTAAAATCTTTTTCTTCATTTTTATTATTATAACTTATTTCTTCTTGTTTAATTTCATTTTCTTCTTTGTTAATCTTTTTATTTTCATATATAAAATACATTTGATTGAGTAATTGTTCATATCTTTCCCCAGCATGTTCACATTCTTTTTGTTGTTTTATTTCACACCCTTTTTTTGTTATTTTCTTTATTAATATATCACAATTTATAAACAAACAACTTAATGAACTTAGAACAATATCCCCTTCATAATCTTGTGGGACTTCCTTCAATAATTTAATCATTGTATTTTTAATTATTTTTTGTTTTTAAGGGTTTGAAAATAACATTTTTAAATTATTTTGTTATTAAAAAATAAACAAATCACAAATTCACCCCAAATAACAAAATATATATATTTTTTTTTGTTTAACAAGAATGAAATAAGAATTCGAAAGTAAAAGGTTATTCTAGATTATATGTTTTGAAAAACATTTAAAAAATTATAAAGGATGAAGGGATATAGATGTTTTTAAGTTTCAGTAAAAAATTGTTTGGTTAAATGGAAAGTTGAGATTTAGAGAAATATTTAGTATAAAAATAAAGAAAATAAGACCCAACTCAAATTGACAATGGGAGATTCAGTACAATTATCACTTCAAAAATATGTTGAATTACGATTGGCAGAAAGAGAAAAAGAGTTAATTGATCATACTGTTTCTGTTTTGGAGAAGCAAGTTGTGTCGCAACAAAAGGCTATTGAACAACTCACTTTACAAATCGAAAAGGTAACTGAAGAACGTGATGAACTTAAGATAAAAGTAATTTATCTAGAAAAAGAAATTATTATTTCTAATGAACGGTTGATGTTATCTCAAAAATACTCTCAAAAAGGTCAAAAAGTTGAAGAAGGGATTTTTAATACTAGTTCAAAGGAGATAAAACGTAGACAAAATTTTGAGGAACTAATACCTAGAAAGAAAAGTACATCAACAAGTATCGCTTCAATAAATTTAAGTAATAAGGATTCAACAGATCCTTTTTCGATAAAAGAAGTTCAAATTAATAAAACACAATCAAGAAAACATTCTTTTATCAAAAGTGATATTTTCAATGACTATATTAATTATATTTCAAAAGTCGATTTAAATACACACTTTAATATTTCAACAACTAGTGTTTGTAAAAAAATCCCAAAATATTGTTTTCAAGTAGAATATCGTTTGCTTTGTGAAGTTTTTACTGATTCAATACTTAGAAATTCTAATGTTGTTTTGTTAAAAGGATATCCAAGTATAGTTTCACATAAAATATTTGAAATGTATTGTATGAAGTCAAATATGCTTGAATTATTAAGAATTATAAAAGACCCTCAACAAATTTCCCAAACTAGAGTAATTATTGGCATGTTTAATAAATGCGTTTTAGCTCTAGAAGAAATAAGAAAATCAAGCGGATTATGTCAAAATTACAGTATCATAAAAGATAGATACCCACACGTTCAATTCATTGCCCTTGGTCGTTACCAATAATAACACTTTATGACTTATTTAAATTCTCACTTTTTGATATGATTCAATCACGAATTTCTCTTTTTTATTATCATTTCTCATTTTTTTGGTTTTTCCTTTATTATAACAAAACTTTTAACTTAAAGTAGAAATCAATCAAAATTAATTAGTTATTTTCTCACTTACTCATAGTCATCATAATCTCTTCGTCCTTCTTTCTTAAAACGATAGTTATGACTATGCCTAGATTTATCAAATTGACCCTGTTGTCTGTGGTTATTATAACCAAAGGAATGATGTCGTTGGTCTCTACGCCTTGGGAAAAGATGATCTTGTTTAAAGCTACGTTGTTGGTAGGATGGGTTTGAAGAGAACTTGTTCTTTCTTTTTTGTTGATAATCGTCTTTAAGCTCTCTTTTACGTTCATCGATATAACTATCACCACCATTAGATCTCCTTTTAGATTGATAAGTACTACTTTGTTTTGTATTTGAAAATCCACGAACACTAATTTCAGGAAGAGTAATAGGTTCTCCATCTAAATACCGTGTTTTAAACACATGACCTTCTTCAAATTGAGGATTAATAAATCCAGCAATAAAACATTGGTTTTGGTCCTCACTAAGTTCCATGTCATCTACTGGAATAATAAAACCAGATAATCCTTGTTGAGAATTTACAATAGGTGTTAATAATTCTTTATAATCTGATAATGGGACCTTTTTGTCTTTTTTATTTAATTTATCAATTGTAGGTTTAATCAATCCCCATATACTTGAACAAGCAGTTTTAAAGGTCTGTATAGTTGTAAAATATTTTACATTATCTTTACCAATAAATATATAAGAATCACCATATCTTCTATTCCTTCTTTTTGCATCTCCTTTTAATTTCTTTTCTATTGGTTTAACATAATGCAATAACTTTTCTTGGTCAATGAAAGTTAATACAACAATAGCTTTATAATCAACTTTTTCTCCATTAAAATCAAGCTTAAATGTATCTGGATAGAATTCACTTATTGGTGATCCTTTAGACTTCATTAAATCATGGAATTGTTCTGGTAAACAACTTTTAGATCGAGGTGGTAACACAGACATTAATTGTTCAAATGGTCTAAATGGAATACTCTTCTTATATTTAAACTCAAAATTATAATCAACATATTCTCCCATATCTTCAGCAAAAGGAGCATAAAGATATGGATAATACCAATCCCATGATTGACATCCTTTATAGTAATACCCAAGAACCCAATTCATTCCTTCAAAATAACTATGAACAATATCTCGAACTTTTTGAGTATCTTTCTTTGGATTTATCTTAAATTTTACATTATAATATCTTTGAGTATACCCTGATTCTCCCATTTTTAATAAATCTTTTTCCTCAGCTTTCTTAAATCGTTCTTTTAATCTATTTTCTCTTTGTTCAATTGATTTTATTTCAGCCTCTTGGATTTTGAGTTGTTCTTGTTGTTCTGGAGTAAGTGAATTAATACTTTCAGTACTTTTTAAAGTACTATTTTCATAGATGCTTGCTTTTCTGCTTTCTAATTGTTTCATTTGATTATCAAAATTTTTTTTAGCATTCATCTTTTCTTTTTGATACTTCTTTTCTAATATTGCTGGTTCTTCCTTACCAACTTCTCGTAAAAAGTTCTTAGCATTAGTAACATTAAGACTACCACTTTCAGTGATATATCCTCCATGTGGTAAAAATTCTCTATAAACTTTCATTAAAAGATCTACACCACCATCTCTAATATCTAATGATGGAATACGTGGTAAGAAATCATTTCCAACTAAGAAACAGAAGAAAATAAAATCATCAACACATCTTTCAAATTCAAATCCCTCTACTTTTAATGTAATTTGAAGATATCCTCGAAGAATATGACAATGAAGAAATTGAAATGGTTTTATAATAGTGTCTAATGCACCAACTTCTTTTCTATGTGGACATTTATCTGGAGGATGAATTTTATTACAAATGTAACATTGGTCTTGTTCAAAAAATACTTTTTCTCGAACAATACTGAAAAATCGTTCATGAGTGGCAAGAGATAACATAATAAGATCTGCATCTAATCCATACATACAATGATGAATATTTGGATTATAATCTGGTGATTCTTTTTGTCTTCTAATAAAATCCATAATTTTATGTTCTCCTTCTCCTGGTACTCCAGAATCACTTAAAATAACAACAAGTTTATTCCAATAACTAGATTGACTCATTCTTTCTTTTATATATTTCTTTAATGTTTTAGAAACTACCGACATAAACTCTGTTCCAGGAGTAATACAATTCGAATCGAATGGTCGTACATAAGGAATTTCAGGTAATCCATTCTTTGCTCTATTCCGATTCTCTTCTGCTTGTTTAAGTTCTGCATTTTCTGCATCTTTGGCTGACTTAAATCTACGACTTCTTTGTTGGTTCATTTTTGCTCTTGGTGCAACTCCATCAACTGCAAGATACAATAACTTTCTAGGTCTAACAATGTCAATAAGGTAATCCAAATATCTAGTCAGTAACACCATCATATCTTCTACTGACTCAGCTGCTTGTCTGTCTTGTGGGTGAAGGCATGGATGAATCAATCCATTCATATCAATATAAAAATTGTCATATTCTACCCCATTAGTGTTGGGTTCATTTAAGTCACCGTACTTCTCTTGGGAAGATGGCTGACAATCATCAATAATTTTTGGAAATCTTTGTTTTAACCATCTAAAGAATGAAGGAACTCCCATTGACCCTTTCAAGTTCAATTTTAGGTTTAACTAATTTTTCCCCTCTTTTATTTTGTGTTTTATATATCAAAGCTGTTATAACTGGAATAAAAAACATTATTTTTTTTTTGATAAAATATTTCAAGTTGTTACTTAATTAGAAAAACCTCTTAGTCAACGGATTGTGTTATAATTCACCAAATAATAAAGAATTCATCTCTTTGCGAATGCTTTGTTTCACCACTCTCTTGTTGGTGATGACACCCAGTTTTTATTGACTCAAACGAGAATAAATCAAATAACTTGTTAATGTTTAAAAAAAAAAACAAGGGTTTTTTTACAATAATTTATAAAGCTAAAGAAGATGTGTAGAGGGGAGAAGATTAAAAGAGCTTATCATTGAATGACCTTGTTTTACTTCGCAGGTTAGGCTTTTTATTTCCAAGTTATTAGAAATTGTTGGAAACTTTATGTCCATAATAATGACCACTATGCACTGTTGTAGAATGATACTTATTTGAGAGATAGTAAAAAGAATAAAAGTAAATAAAAAATTAATCAATTCAATCGTATATTTTAGTTTTGAGTTGTCATTTCAAACCATTGTCTCAATGCTTCAGCTAAAACATTAGGTAAAGTGTTTAAGTCATGAAGAATGATGTAGTGAGGGAAAGGGAAAGTGTCCATATAATGTTCTACATTAACTTTTCCATTTTCAAAGTTAACGCTCTTCATTTCAAGAATTGATTCATTAGAAGGATTATCTAAGACAATGAAAACAACAAAAGTCTTCATTGAAGAGAAATCTCTTAATATTTTAGAAATACCATTTTTATCAGAGAATCGTCCATCAGAGAGGATAAAAATAATTTGTTTTACATCCAATTCAATAGAAGGATTATATCGTTGACAAACAAGTCCACTTTCATGTAAATAGACATATAAAGATTTCATTAATTTAACCATATCAGTATTGTTTTGATTAAATTGGAATTCTTTAACAATTCTTGCTCCATCTTCCTCATTAAATGTAGTTCCAAACTTTTGAACACATTTTACATCTTCTCCAAATCTAACAACACTTAACTCTCCTACTTCTAATTTAGTTAAAGCACTAGATAATAAAGCAATTGTTTCTAATGCCATTTCTCCAGCATTATTTATAACCATTGATTGAGAATCATCTATTGCAACTAATATTTGATAATCTCTTTTTTGTGCTCTTGTTCTTCTAAGCCAAATTTTATCCTTTTTAAATCCAGAAGCAATGTATGGAATTACTTTCTTCATATTAATTTTCTTTCCAGTTCTATAATCTCCTTTCATCTGACTTGCTAATGATGGTTCTAACACAATTCTTAATTTTTCACATAATTCCATAGCAGATTGATTTGTTTTTGATTCATAAATACTCCATTGTTGTCTTTCACTTTCATCTATTTCAATTATCTTTTCTTCATTAATTTCATCAATTAGTTGTTTCTTCTCTCCTTCTTCAATAATTATCTCTTTATCATTTGTATTTTCTTTAAAATTAACATTAAAAATGTTATTTTTCTCAGTTGGTTCTTTAATAATACTTTCTCTTATATATTGTTCATTAACTTTTTCTTTTTCAACAACATCATTTATATCTTCTTCCATTATTCCATCTACTTGTTGGTTTTCTTTCATCTCTTCTTCTTTTCTTTCTTTCTTTTCAATCATATTCTTCTTTTCTCCTTCTCCAATTTTTTCTTCTTCCATCTTTTCAATATTCATTTCTTCTTTAGCTGGTGCTATTGTTTGTTGTTGAGCTGTTTCATCAACAACATACTCATCTTTTTCATCTCCACTTTTCTGCCCATCAATAACTTTTTGTTCTTCTGTCATAGTGAGATCTTCAATATGATTTTGGCTATCACCATTTCCTTTCTTTTCTTGTTGGACTTTTCTGAGTTCTTGTTGTTCTTTCTTTGAATTTCCATTAACATGTCCTTCTCCTTCTCCAACTTTTGTATTATTTTCTTCATTATTTCCACTTCCTTCTCCTTCCTTTTGTTGAGTTGAATCAATTTTAGCATTACTTTTCATTCCAGTGTTTTCTTCAACACCATAAGCATCCATTGGAGTATGTTCTGCTTCAATATCTTCAGTATTCTTCTGTTCTTCATTCATATTACCTTTTCCATTATCTTGGTTTTGGTTTATATCACCAGTAAGATCTTGTTCAAGTTCTTTTGTTTCTACCATATCTTCATTTTCTCCATCTGCCTTTTCTTCTTCAACACTTTTTGCTTCTTCATCTGATTTATTTAATGCATCAATATCAAATTGACCTCCTTGTTCTTCTTCATTTTCATTATTATTTTCTTCTTCAATTGACATATTTTCTTCACCTTCTTCATCCATTTTAAATTCATCATCATCATTGTTTTCTTCTTGGTTGTCTTCTTCAATTTGTTCTTTACCAGGAAGTGTTTGAAGTTTTTCAGTTTCTTCTACTTCTTGACCTTCTTCTTGTTGTTCTTCACCTTTCTCTTCTTTTTCATCATTGGCTTCTTCCATTGTTTGTTCTTGGTGTTCCTCTTTCTTCTTTTCTTTTTCTTCTTTGATATCTCCTTCTTCTTCACTTCCCATACCTTCTGCTTCACCTTTCATTCCTTTACCAATAGCATTTTCTTCTTCCATTGATTTCTCATTATCTTCTTTATCCCACATCTCAGCATCAACAATTTCTCTTTTGTCTTTATCAACATCACCCATTGTTTGATCTCTGTCATCATCTTCTTCTTGATCTTTATTGTTACCATCTTCATTTAGTTCTTCATCATATTCTTCTCCATCAAAATCATCTTGCATATCAAATCCTTTATCCATTTCTTGTTTTTCATCTTTATTTTGTTCTTGTTGTTTTTCTCCTTTTAATCCAGTTAATTGTTCTTGATCTTTAATTTCTTTACTAACATCATTTATTCCTTTACCTTCAGCCATACCAACTCCATCTGTAGTAAATTCTTCTCCTTTTTCTTGTTTATTATCATCTTCTTTTTCTTGTTGATTACAAAATCCATCTTTATATAATGTACCAAATGTATTAAGACACATAACAGTAAACTTTCTTATTGATTTATGGATATGAAGTGAAGTAATATAATGATCTTCAAGGACATGCTCTACGTTTGTTAATAATTCTTTCATATATTTTGTATTTGTTGTTAAACAATTCTCAATCATTTCTTTAAGATTATTATGAATATTATTTCCAGCAAGAATAAATGAATGAATAGATGGGAATGAATCATTTTCTTCTTCATTTAATTGAGAGGATGCTTTAAATAAAATTTGACAAGTAATTAAACACTCTTCAAGCATTTCATTAATTTTGTTTGAAGAACTAAATTCTTCTTCAATAGTAATATCTATTTCTTTTAATGATTTTAAAATCAATAAGATATTTTGTGAATTATTGAATCCAATATTTTTAATTTCTTGTTCAATTATAGAAATCATATTTTGTCCTTCTTTAGTCATTAATTTAATATTTTCTATCATTTTATTTGTCATAAAATGATTTCCTTCTAATAATGTTTCTTTCATTATATTTTTAAGTATATTTCTACTCTTTTGAATATTTTCTTTCATTTTATTAAATTTCTCTGTTAAACTTTCTTCAATAAGAATACTATCTTCTAATACATTTTCTATTCTACTCAAAAATACATAATTTTTAAGTAATGTTAAATGGTTAACTTTACTAAATTTTTCTTCTTCATAACTAAGAATAGATAATACTTTCTTTAAATAATTAACAAAATCTTGCATTTTTCTAATTTCATTACTTTGTTTCATACACATATCATAGAGATTATTAACATAATTTTGAGTATATTCAATTTCTTTTCCATTAAGATCATTTGAAGCATTAATTTTTACTTTATTAAATAATTGGAATTTACTAATTGTCTTAAAATGATATTCATTAATTTTTTGAATTAATGAAGTATTTCCTTCAATTTTGTATGGTTTTCTTAATACCATTTCTAATGAAATATCATTTAAATTAACTGTTTTTCTTGAATGACTTAAATGATATCCTTCTAACATCTCAATAACATCAAGTAATGCTCTTTTCTTTAAAACAAGTCCTTCTTTTCCTTTAGTTTCTTGAAGTTCTTTAATTCTTTTTATTAATTCATCTTCAAATAATTCTAACCATTTTAATCCATCTCTATCTTTAAAAGTAATATCTTCAATACATTTTCTTAATGTTTTTGAATGAAGAATTTTAATTTTATTAATATAATATTTAATTTCTTGTACTCTATCTCCATTTCCTTTATTAATTTTTTCTAATATTCCTAATGATGTAAATTCAGGTGGTTGTACTTTTTCTATTTCACTAGGATTTGATTCAAATGTTTCACTTTGTACAATTGGTTGAATACTTTCTTTTAATAAATTATCAAATTCTTTTGTAAATGCAAATAATTTTCTATTTGATTTTTCTGTTTGATCTTGAAGTTTAGCATAATTAATATCATTCCATTTTGTTAATTTAATAAAATCTTTAATTTTTTCAATAATTGGTTTAATTGAATATTCTATTTGTTCATTAATTTTTGTTTTAAATAATAAATAATATTCTTTGATTTGAATGAACATTATATTAACTTTATTCCATTGATTATTGTTATTAATTTCAAATATTTTTTGTGTTAATTTAATAAGAATTTCTAATAAATGAATTCTTTCATTAAATTGACCATAATTACATTTATAAACAAATTGATTCATTGATTCTAAAAATTGAAGTTCATATTCTTCATTTCCTTCATTAGTAATATATTCTTGAACCATTTTCCACACATTAACAAACCAACCTCTTGCATTACATTTATGTTTCTCAATAATATTATCAGCTATTTTATTCCAACTCTTTAACTGCCAACTTCTCCATTTTTGTATAATTAATGCAACATGATTCATTTCTTCTTGTAATGAAACATATTGTGCAGCAACATTTTGCCAATTTTGTAATTCTCCAAATAATACATGAAGTGTAACTAAATATTTCATTAATGGTGCAGTCTTTGGATATCCTCGTATTCTATCTACAATTGAATTAATTTTAACAAGCATTTCATTTTCTGGAAATTCTTCTAATAATTTACTAACATGATTATACAATTGATCAAGTACATTCATTAATTCAATAATTTCATGAACACATCCATCTTTATTTAAATCAATTAATTTTTCTTCTTTTGGATGAATTATTAATTCAGTTTTTGTACGTATAAAGATAGTATGAAATGGTGATGATATCCAATCAAAATCTTTTGGTAATGGAATATCTTTATTATCAAAATATTCAGCTAACATATTCTTGAAAACTTCATTTCTTTCTTCCATTGTTTCATTAAATAATTGATTACTTTCTTTTTCATTTAATATATTCTCTATAAATCCAAGAATAAATTGAATATCTTCATCTGTAATCCAATTTCTTGCTTTTTTCTTTTTTGGTTTATCATTAATAATTGGTGTAGTAGTAATAGGAATATTAAGTGATTGTTGTTGTAATAAATCTTGAATATCAGTAAAGAAATCTGGAAATTCTTCTCGATATTCTTCCTCTTCTTTATCTTCATCAATAGCTAATTCATTTGTTTTTGTTTTATATTTAAATATTTGTGCTTCTTCTTCTTCAATTTTTCTTTTTTCTTCATCTTCTGCATTTTTTAATGCAACCATTAATCTTAATAAAGGAACAGTTGTTTTGATTGCACCATTAATATCTCCTTTATAACCTTTTTCCATGTTAACAAAGAGAATTTTAAGAATACTATTATTAAATGAATTATTGTTTTGTTCTATGTGTTGTAATATAAAATCTCCAATACAAGATACTTCTTCATTAATATCATCTGAATTAACTGGGAATGCAATAACACTTTTTAATATTTTTTCAGCATTATTATTTCTTAAATATGTTAATATCTTTTTAAATAATTCAATTCTAATTCCTGTTTTTAATAAATATAATCCAAATATTATTGGAATTGTAATATCTCTAAATAATGGATATTCTTTTTGAATATGTTCAATAAAGAATTCAGTTTGTTCTTGCCACATAGTTTCATGTGATATAATTCCAATTAATGAATTAATATCATTAATATTTTCTATAGAAATAAAAAGTTCATTAATTTTATTATAATTTCCATTTGATGTAATAAATAATTTGAATTCTTGATATAATTGTTCATATGGAATATCACTATTTCTTTCTTTAATATTGATACTATATTGTTCTTTTTCCTTTTCAATATTATCTTTCATTGTTTTTAAAAACTTTTCAAATATTTCAAATCCAACACCAAATATCAATGCTCGTGTTTTAATAAGTGTTTCCATTTGAATAGAAACAATTTTAATTCTTGAATTTGCAACTTCAATGAAATATTTTGGATATTCCATTGGATCAATACATGGTATCATAAAACAATTATAAATAAAACATCCATATCTATACAAATTAATTCCTTCTTGTTTTTCATTATTTTCTTGTATAAGATGAATAGAATTGTTATAATATTCTGTTAATTTTGGACTAACCATTTGAATTGATTGTTCAAGTGATTGTTGTGAATTAGTAATAGTATTAAATATATCAACTAATGATATTTGTATCATTTTAATAAATTTATTGATAATACTATTGATATCTCCATTTGAATTAATTGAAATATTCTTAATATCTTTTAATAATGATATTTGTATTGGGATACTAAAAACATCTAATATTCCATTAGAAATAAAGTAAGCTCTTGCTCTAGGTATAACACTTTGATATAATAATGAAACTCCTTTTAATTGATTTGATTTAGGTAAGAATGGTAACGTTGGAAGAGTTTTCCATAAAGCTCCTAGAGACTCAGATAATAATGGAATTGTATAAATAGAATCATTCTTTTGTTTGTTTTGATAGGAATATACAAATGGATTATAGGTAGATTCATTATTATTTACAACATCATTAATAACACTTATATTTTTTAAGAAATTATACAATGGCGTTAAATAAGTTTCTTTTTGTTGTTCTGGAAGTTGTATTGTATTAACCTCATCTTTAAAACATGATTCAAATAATAATGCTAATGTTTTAACAGAATTATCACTATATGTCATTTGGATAGATGGAATTAATTCAGTAAATTCTGTAGTATGTTTTGGATAAAATTCTTGTGAGAAATGAGACCATAACCTACCAATTAATGATTCATCAACACAATATTGTTTAAATAATTCATTGGTCATTTCAATATATATTGGATGAATTGATCTTAATAATACACAAAGAATAATATATTTCTGAATATTAATTTCTGTACAAAATCCAATAGTTGAAAATAAGACTCTTAATATTAATAAACTAAATATTTGTTGATCAGTTAGTTCATGAATATTATCTATAGTTTTATCAATTGAATTTAAGAATTCACAATAAGATTGTTCAAGTATAAGATATTTAGAATATACATTAGCAACTTTTCTTGAAGATTTTGATATTATTGTATTACTATTTTCATTTTGTTTTTCTTTTTCTTCTAAATTCTTAAGTAATAATACAAACATCATCATTGTTTTAACCCATTTATTTGGAATTGTTGATATTAATGATTTAATTTGTAATAAAATATTTAATTTTTCATTTGGAATAATATGTTGTAAAATAGTAATAAATTGTATACTTTCCTTTTCATCAATCATTTGTATTACAGTAGAAATAATTTCAATTCCTTCAATTTTATCTTCATTTTGATAACATTTTAATACCTCAATTAAAATATCATTAAGTTCATTTGTTTCTGTAGACATTCCATCATATTTGAATTGAGTATAGATATATGGAATAATAACACTCATTTTAGAAAGTAAAACACCAATAGAAATATTCTCAATGAATTGATTCATTTGTTTTATTTGAGTATTTGCTAAAATATTATAAGTGATAATATCTTCATTATTGACTTTTTGTTTTTGTTGTTGTTCATAAATAGTTTGTTTTCTTTCTTGTTCTTTTTCATCAGAAGTAATAGTAACATAAAATATATTAAATCCTTCTTTAAGAGATTCTATTCCATAATTACCAACATATTTACCCCATCTTATAAGATGTAATAAACTTACATTTTCACATTGTTTATGAATACTAAGCATAAATCTAACAGTTTCAATAGACAAATTAAATCCAATAAGAATTCTTTCAATATCAATATCACCTAATGATGGTACAAATAATTCTAATGCTCTATTTCTCATAGCTCTTGATATTTCACCATTTATTGGATTAGATGTGAAAATTACTCTAAAATCTTTATGAGGTTTAATGATAATTGGTGTTCCATCAGAAGATACTCCTCGTTCATTTAATACTAAATATCCATTTGGTTCAAATAATGAATTTAATCTATCCAATACGGTTGGATTACAGAAATTAACATTTTCCATCATTAACCAATATCCTCTTTGCATACATTTAACTACAATTCCATCAACCCATTCAAATGATCCAATTGCTTTCTTTTGTTGTAATATTTCTATATGATTTATATTTTCTTTAAGAAATTCATCATTTATACATTGATTTAATTCTTTGATAATTTTCATTTCAACATCTTCAAATATACAATTTCTTCTTGTATTTTCCAAATCTTTTGCTTTAACACAACAAATTAACATTTGATAAATTTCTTTTGCTTTTTTATTATTACAAACCATCATAATATCTTTAATATCTTGTAAGAAACTTCTTCTATGTCTTTCAAAATCCATTTGTTCATATCCTCCAATAAGATCAATTGTATCAACACTTGTATTCATACTAAATTCTTTCATAATATGTCCAGTTAATTGTGCAATATTTCTAACAATACTTGTCTTTCCACAATGTGAATCTCCAATAAGAGATATTAACCATCCATTATTAATTCCTTTCATTATTCCTTTCATTATACTTAATTGGTTTGGTAATAAATAATTCATTTCTACTTTATTTTCTATACAATATTTTCTTTCCATTTCTACTTCTCCAATTCTAAAATTTTCTTGTGTAATAGAATAATCATTCCTTTCTTCTTGAATTAATTTATTTAATGTTCCAATACTAGAATTCCATATTTCAAATGCATAATTACGATCTTTTATTTCTCTAAATCTATTTCCAAAAATAGTATTATAAATAAATGTAAGTGTATTTAATATTCCATTATGAATTTCATTTTCTATATTTGAATTATATTCTATATATAATTTACAAAATCTTAATATATCTCTTAAATTAAATTCCCATGGACTTCCTTTTCTACCAAATAATTTCTTTTGACAAATATTTTCTTCTAACTTTTTAATAAATTGAATTAATGTATTAACAATTTGTTGTGGAATTATTGGATAAATTGTTCTAATAATATATTCCATATCATTTGTAGTCATTTTATTAACATAAACTTCAGTAAATCTATTTAAAAATGATTGAGGTAATCCTTTTCTTCCACTACCTTCTCCTAATGGATTTTGTGAAGCAAATAATCTAAATGTTGGTGGACATTTAACTTCAATATTTAATTCTGGAATAAATATTGTTGCACGATGATCTAATAAAGAATTTAATCCTTCTAATACACTTTGTGATGCTAAATTTAATTCATCTAATAATACCCAACTTCCACTTTTCATTGCTCTTAATAATAATCCATCACACCAACCAAATCCTCCTGAATTTCCTTCTAATGGTAAATCTGTTCCAAGTAAATCTGAAATATCTGTATGTTCACTTAAATTAATTCTGTATAATTGAATATTTAACATTGATGCTAACATTTCAATAATTGTTGTTTTTCCTACTCCTGGTGATCCTTCCATTAAAATTGCTTTATGTAATGTCATAGCTCTAAATAAATGAAGAATATTTGATGTTGTTGTTGGAGCATCAATACAATAATTTTTTTGTAAAGTTAATGAATTAGTTGGTGATTCTAAACTAAAATCAGATATACAAATACTATTATTTTTAATAATCATTTTTGGTATTTCTGTAATAACTTTAATACTTTCTTCATTTAAATTTTCTCCACAAAGAATTAATGCATTATTTAATGCTGTTATACAATCTTGAATAACATTTGGTATTTCATTTTTTAATGAATCAATAACAACTAAATGTGCTCCATGAATAAATTTAAGTTGTGAAGATTGAATTTTTTTACAATTATTCATAAATTCTGTCCATGCAAGACAATTTCTAACTGATACTTTTTTTCCATATTTTTGTTCTGACCAAACAAGGAAATTAACAATTCCTTTTGCATATTTTTTTTCTTCTTCTTTTTTAATTTTTTGTTCAACAATTAATAATAAATCACTTTCAGCTTCAAATGATTTAACATAAATTTCAGTAAATCTATTTCTCATTGCAGGACTAAGTTCTCTTTTACCAAAATCTCCTCCTGGATTCATTGTTCCAAAAATTCTAAAATTTTCATTTGCAATAACTTCTTCAATATCATTACTTGTTTTTTCTGCAATTGTCATCATTCTTGATGGTTCTAATACTGAATTTAATCTTTCTAAAACAGAATCTTCTGCCATATTAATTTCATCAATTAAAAACATATCTCCATTTTTCATTGCTTCAATTAATGGTCCATCATACCATTTAAATAATGTTCTATAATCTAATATTAATTTATCTATTTCTTGATTTTTTATTTTATTTAAAGAATATTTATTTAATAAAATATTTAATGATTCATCTTCTTCATTAAATAATTTTTTTAATGAATTATATAATTTAATTGTAATTTGTTCTTTATTTCTTATTGGTCTCATTCCACCAATAAAATCTGCTGTTTCTGTATGTTGATGACAATTTAAAATTTTAAGTTTTTGATTCATTATATGAGCAATAATTTGACATACAGTTGTTTTTCCACAACCAGTTTCACCAATTAATAATACAGGTTCTTTATGTTTTATACATTCAATTATTAAACAAAATAATCTTCTCATAGAAGGTGTCCAAACAATTTCTTTACAAATTTCTTTAGCAATATTAAATTCATTACAATTATAAATTGTATTAAAATTTAATTTAACTTTTAAATTTTTTTCTAAAATTTCTTGAATAATTTGTTTTTCATTTAAATTTCTCATTTTTTCAGCTAAAATAAAATATCCATCTCTTGCTAATTCTTCATAACTATTTGCATGTCTATCAGCCCATTTAAATAATTCTCTTAATGTAATAAATGAATGTTTTCCTCCAAAAAATTGTGTCATATTTCTTTGTTTTTCTAAATCTTTTAAAATATTAACAAGTTTTTTACAATATGTTGGTGGAATTAATGATCTTTTTTCAATAATTATTTCAAGTTCATTTTCAGGTATTTCATCAAAATGTAATTCTATAAATCTATTTCTAAATGCTCTTGATAAATGTTTTCTACCTCCATATGTATTTGGTGGATTTTGAGTTGCAAATAACATAAATTGTGGATGTGGTTTAATTGTTTCTTGAGTTTCTGGAATATATAATTCTCTATTAAAATCTAATAATCTATTTAATGCTTCTAATACTTCAGATGGTGCTAAATTTAATTCATCTAAAACAATCCAATATCCTTTTCTCACTGCTTCTACTAAAATACCTTCTTGAAATATTAATTTACCATCTTCTGTTGGAATATAACTTCCAAGATATTCTTGAACATCTGTTTGTTCATGATTATTAACTCTAACCATTCTATGTCCTGTTGCTTTTGCAAGATATTCAACTAAACTAGTTTTACCTGCAGATGTAGGTCCTTGAAGTAATATTGGATATCTTTTTGACATAACAATTCTTGAAATACTTTCTAATCTTTTTTTTGTTGTTTCAGTTAAAATATATTTTTCATCTATTTTTATTTCTTCATTTCCTTTTTCAATAAAATATCCTCCATAATTAATATATTCTTTATTTTTTGGTAAACTACCAGTATTATTTGTTTTATTAAATGTTTCATTAATTAATTTTTCCATTATTGGATAACTTATTCTATTTAATTGAGTTAAATATGACATATTAATTCCTTCATAAAGTGCTCTTTCAAATCCAAAAAATGGAGTTACATCTGTAATATATTGTAATGCTAAACAAAGTGTTCTTAATGAAAATAATGGTCTTTGTCCTGCTCCATCAAACAATTCATCATGTGCAAGTTGTTTTGCTTTTAAATGAAATTGAACAATTTTTTCAGTTGGAGGTTGAATACCAATTCTATTTAAATAATCATTAACTAACATTTTTAAATCATTTTTTTCAATAATTTCATTAAATTGAATTGGATGAAATCTTGATTTAATTCCTGGTGATAAATCTTTTTTTCCAACATCAGTTGGTGGATTCATATTAGCAAATAATCTAAAATTTTTATGTCTTGGAATTGGTGTTATATCTCCTATTTCAGTTAATAAAATTGATTCTCCATCAAGTAATCCTGATATTCTTTCTAATGTATCATGTGATGCTAAATTAATTTCATCAAGAAGAATCCAATATCCATTTCTTAATGCTGTAATTAAATCTCCTTCAATAAAACTAAATGCAAATCCATTTTGTTTATTATTTATTTGTTCTTTATATTTTCTTGCTTTAATATTTATTTTATTCCAATGTTCTCTAATAGATGTTTCCATTGTTTTAATTTTTTTATCTGCCATATCACATGCTTTAATAATAAGAGTTAAAAATCTATTAAAATCTTGTTTTTCATATGCATTATTTAATTGATTAATAAATTTTTCATTAGAATTTTTTGAAAATATTTTATTAAATTCTTCAATAAATTCAATTCTTAATGGATGACATAATAATTTTAATTGAACTGGTTTAAATCCTCCAACAAGATCACTTGATTCTGTTTGTTGATTTAAATTATAAACAATAAGTTTTTGATTTAATAAACTAGCTAATTCTTGAATCATAGTAGTTTTACCAGTACCTGTTTCTCCAACAAGTAATATTGGTTCATCATTATTAATACAATCAGCAATTTTTTCCATTAATATTAATGAATGTTGTGTTTTAGAAAATGGAAAATGGATTTTCTGGTGGTGGTGGAATAGGTGGTGGATTTCTATTTAATTTAATATGACCAATTGTAATTTCTTTATTATTTATTTCTATTATTGGTTTATATCCATTTATCATAAAATCAATTGATGGAATTTGAATTCTTTGTGCAACTATTTGAAGTATTTCTATTCTTTTTTGAAGTTCATTTGAAAGATAAACATTATCACATTCAAAAAGAATAATATATTTGATTTGAGTAGTAATTTGATTTAATTTAACTTCATTTGGAATTTGTTGTTCAATTCTTTTACAAAATGATAATAATTGACGTAAAGTACCAGTAATTCCATTTAATTTTATAGTTTTATGACATTCTAAAATTGTTGGTAAAATAATTTTAATTCTTTGATAAAGACAAATTAATAATTGAGTTAATTCTTCTATTTTCATTTCTGGCATTGAAATAATAGTAAAATGTGAAGAAAGTATTGAATGAAATGTATTTATTTTCATTCCTCCTTTATAAATAGTACGTGTACCTATTAATCTAAAATTAGGATGAACAATAATACTTTCTGATCTATTTGGAATAAAAAATGTTCTTGTTTTTAATAATGGTAAAATTAATGAAATAACATCTGGTGGTGCTGTATCTATATCTTCTAATAAAAACCAATATCCTTCTTTTATTGATGTTGTTAATGATCCATCTTTCCATTTAAATTCACTAAAACTATCACTTGTAATATATGATCCAATTAATGCTTTTGCATCTATATCATCTCCAAAATGAACTGAAAGCATTTTCATATGTTGTTCTTCTGCAATATATTTTAATAATGAACTTTTTCCACATCCTGCTTCTCCTTCTAATAATATAGAATTAGAATCTTTAAGTAATCTTTCTATGATTAATTTAGTATTATGAAATGGAGTTATAACAAATGTTTTCATATAAAAATTAATGTTATTTAGTCCTTTTTTTTCTTTATTATCCTCATTTTCATTTATTTCTTTTAAAACCCTAAAAATTTTATTTCTTTCTTTTTAATTTAAAACAAAAATAATTTATATAACAATAATTTATTTTATTAAAAACCAATAGAAGAAAGAAAGAGAATTGGATTCATTTCTATCAATACACATAATGACTAAATTAATATTGTGGTTGATATCTTATGTTTGTTTGTTGTTGTGGTATTTGATTTATTCCAGGATATGTTGGAAATTGTTGAATATCAGCTAATTCTGGTGGAAGATTTAATGCTAATGATAAAAATGGTAAACGTGCAGGTTTTGCTAAAGTATCAGTCATACTTAATAAATTTTTAATATTTGAACCAAAAGTAATAATCCATTGACGATCTAAAGAAAGAAGTTCTTGTGTTTGTAATGAAATTTCAATAGATGCTAATACTTGTTCATTATTTTCTATAAGTTCTTTAATTTGCTCTTCTATTTCATTTGAATTAATTAATGGTTGTTGAATATTTTTTTCTATTTCTTTTGTTTTTCTTTTTCTTGATGATTGTTTTTTTGTTTTATCATCTTTTTCTAGTTTTGATATTTTAGGTTTCTTTTTATTTTCTAATTTATCTTCAAGAATTTGTTGTTGTAAAGGTATTGTAATTGGAATATTTAATTGTGTTTGTTGTTGTTGAGATAATGTATTATTTATTGAATTAATTTGAGAATATTGTTGATAATGAATTGGTTGTGTTTGTTGTTTTGTTTGTATAAATGTTTGGATTTGATTTCCAATTTCTTGCATTATTGGTTGATTTCCTGGAGTAACTTGACCAATTTGATTTGAACGTTGTAATTGATTTGAAGTATTAATACTTTTTATTTGTATTTGTTGTTGAATTACTTGATTAGATGATGGTAATGGATGAGTTGGTGTTTGTTGAATTATAGGAATAGTATTTTGAATTTGTTGAGGAAGAGTTGTTTTTCCTTCTTGTTTAATTTGAGATTGAAGAGGACGAATTGAATGAATTGTTTGAATTTGGGGATTAATTTTAGGAATTTGTTCTCTATGTTCTGTATATTTTTGATATGTAGAAATTGTAAATGGTTGATATGAACACTGAACACAAAACTCTTCCCAATTTTGTTTTTTACCACCTGCAACCCATTTAATTCTATTTAAAATTTGTTGTGATGATTTATTTGGAAATAATGATTGTAATTTATACAACATATCAGTATTTTCTAAGAAATTGGTTCTACCATTTCATTAATCTATTTCATTGTTGTTGATGTTATTTTTTTTTTTAATAAAACAAACGTTTTCATTTGTTGATCTAATAATTGATTTTCTTCTTCATTCCATTGTGGAATAGTCCCAACAGATCTCTCATTTTTAATTGGAATTTTAGGTTGAGGTTGTGTAGATGTTTCAGTATTATCACTTTTGAAATTTGAATTCATAGTAACACTAGGAAAGCTCATTAAAATGGTTATAGTTCATTTTATTCTCTTTTTGTTATAATATTATATTTTATTAATTTTTTTACTATAATTATTAATTTCCTTTTTTTTTTATTAATTTTTAGAGACATTATTAATCTTTCATTACCATTTTAATGAGAATATAATATTATTAAAATACGTAATTACATTATTTATATATTTGACTTATAAAAGATAATGAAAAAAAAACCTCAAAAAGAGAAATTGTGTTTAAAGAAGAATGAACTTAGAAAATACAGAAAAATAATACATTAATATGGCTACTCGAAGTGTTGTTATGTATCATTTTGAAATTTCTAAGAAAGTAAATAAAAGAATTCAATTTTATGGAAAATCAATAACTGCAAGTGAAGTAATTGGTGAAATTCTTAAACAACGTAAAGACTCATTTGATAGAGATGAATTGCATATTTTTGATGTACAAACAGGACATGAGTATGTAGGAAGTGATCCAATAACTAAAAATACTTATTTATGTGTCAAACGACTTCCTCGTTCAGCTCGACAAATGGTAATGAAAAAAATTCGTAAAATTGATTCGTCTATTAAACCTACTAAACCACTTCCCATAACATTAGAACAACCAATTGTTTTAACTGAGGAACAAATTGCTAAGAAAAAAGCAGAAGAAGAAAAGAAAAAAATTGGAAATGAGAAGAACTCATTACTCTGTGAATGTGGTAATTTACTTAAAGGTGCTGTTATTTGTTTAAATTGTGGTGATACAATTTGTGAAAAATGTCTTGAAAAAGGTGTTTGTCCTTCTTGTAATGAAGAAGTAAATGAAGACAACACCTCTCCTAAACAAGAGGTGAGAGATTGTGTTGAAGAATTCATAAAGAAATATCCTGATTTTGTAGAGAATTGATTGTTTATTTGTTTGGTCTTTCTAATTAGTGCTTCTCTAATTTTCTTCAATTTAACTATCTTTTTTTTTGTTATTCAAATTGTTTTTCTTTTTTATTTAAAAATAATATAATTTAACACCTTTTCTTATTCCTTCAAATTACTGTTGCTTTTATTATGAGTCTAATAGTTATTGTATTAACATAGATTAAATAATGATAGTTATGTATTTATTTGTATTCATAACAACGAAGTATAGAAAAAGAGTAGAATTTACTTTTTTATTAAAATCCTTTTTTATGTTTCTTTCAGGTAATTTGAAAATTTTTATTAGAAACTCATTTTAATTAAGAGAGTGAATGGTGTAATAATGAGAAAGGTTTATTTAGTTTAATAACTTAGTTTTTGAATAAAAATATAGTATAATAAAATAAGTTTAGAATAAGTTAGAAATATTATTATTGTTAAAGAGTTGAATTGGTTTCAATCATTATCACGTTTTATCTTTTTATTTTATTCGAGAGTAATGTCAATCTAATTATTTTTAATCAATTAAGATTAATAAGAATAGAGTTTATCATTACTTATTGAAAATATTCTATTTATTAAATTACAAGATAAATAATAGATTATAATAGTAGTTAGCATGAATGAGTATTTCAAAATAACTATTTCAATGATGTAGATATATTTTATTTTGTTACTGATTATTATTACAGATATTTAAAATAACATTCTAATATATTGTTATATCTAATGGCTCTAATTTAGATTTATTCAATGACTATTAATTATTGTTCTATTTAAATTTAATTGTAAACTCATTCAATTATAATAATTATCAATTGATTAATGTAATAAAGTCTTGTTAATATTATTAGTTCATTATACAATACATTATTTCTCTATTTTATAATTAATTTCTGATGTATTTATATTTCATTTATCATCACTATTTTATCTTTACAACCATTTTATCAATTCAGAATATACAACAAATTTTGTTGCCATGGCTATTGAGTAATGTCACAGAGTCTTGTAAAGAAAATCAAACAACAAACAGGTATTCATGTTCAAAGAAAAGAATGAATGAAATAACAATAAAATGAATAATAATGATAAAAGAAATAACAAGAAAATAGTAAATAGAAAAAGAAGAATACAAATAAAAACAAATAAGAAACAATGTAAATATAATGATAATAAACATTATACAAATAACAAATCTAAATTATTAATAACAAATGAAATTCAAAAGAAAATTAAAAGAATAAGAATTGAAAATGAGAAATGAGAATAATCAGAAATACTTAAAAAATAAGAAGATTAAGAAAAATGTATAATATTCTCCAAGAAGTATATTCAATAATAAACAATAAAATAATAAAGAAAAACAAAGAAGAAAATAAATAGAAAACAAAATAAATGAAGAAGATATTAAAACAAATGAAAAATGAATCAAAAACAAAAAACAAAGAAATGAAATAAAATTACAATAATAATAAATAAAAATAACATAAATAAAAACACAAGATAAAGAAGAATATAACAAATAAGAAATTAACATTCTTCAAAATAAAATCAAAGAAATAGAATAAGTCATTAAATAATTTCAAACAAAAAAGATGGAACAAGAATGAATCATTTCAAATGAAATAATTCAAAAAAAAACACGAGGTACAATTAGAAAAGAGATTGAAGAAGAAATAGAAAAGATGAAAACACAAATAAACAATATCCAAACTATATATAACGAAATAAGAAAAGAAAACTCTAAATTAAAATAATAACATAATTCATTTCAATGAAAAATAAATGAAATATAAAATAGAAATAATACAAATATGAAATAAAGATGAAACAATCATCATTTTCCAAGTAAATTATGAGAAGTTAAATAATTATGAGTGTTGAAGAAGAACATAAGAGCTAAATAAAAACAAATCTCTGTATATCAAAAAAGTTGAATTGAAAAGTATGAGATTGCAGAAAAAACAAAAGAAGAATTAGACCATACACAAAGAGAAAATAAAGAACAAAAACAAATAATATCAAAACAACAAGAAAATATCGAAATTTTTTTATTTCAGAAATTGAGAAGAAGAAGACAATGACATTAATGATAAATACGCAACAAATACTGAGAGCATCATCATCTGGGATAATACAAATGATCAAAACCACCATTATGAAAAAAAATACAATATTAGAAATAAAAGAACAAAACACTGAATATCAAAAAAACAAGAAATGATAATCAATCAAGAAGAAAATAAAACAAACAAATAGAAATTTAATTGATGTGTTGCAATGTTTTGCAATTAATTTGTTAAATAAGAAAATAAATAAGAAAATAAGAAATGAAGAAATATAAAATATAATAAAAATAATAAATATTAATATAAATAATGTAAAGAATACATTAATAATATTAAAATATCATTTAAAATAAAATAAACAACTAAAATATATATTAAAATGAAAATGAACTCAATCAATAGAAAATAGAATGCAATTTAATAATAAAAAACATTAATATGAAAAACAACAATATTGATATTGATAATGAATATCTTAATATTAT